TAGATGACATAAATTGACACAAATAGCATTACAATTAACCATAAATTGTATATATTGTCCCTTTTTTCTTGATCAGATTTACCCATTGTACAGTCTTCAATAGCCTTGAAAGTCATGCCATTGAGATATCCAAAGTACCTTTTATTTTAAGCCAGAAGATCTAGAATTTCATGTGCTCACGTAAAGTGTGTGCCTGCCTCAAGCATTCGGGCACTCAAGAGCGACAAATTTGGTTATCAAATGTTTCGAGAGTGGTCAAGTTAACTTGAACTTTTCATATGTTAAGGTTGCTCACAAAACTTGTAGATTCATTCAATTGACGCTTTCAAAACTTCCAATCCAAGTTGCAACTTCCGTGTTGCTCTTTAATTTCACCGTTATTGCTCAATTAAGCTCCCTTGGATCTCCTCTTTATTTCTCTTTCTTTCTTTCTTTTTTTTCTCAATTCACCTCCAAGTCGAGATTTTTACCTGCAAACAAAACATATATACAAATATGAGTAGAAAACCACGACATTTAATCGTTAATGCACAAATTTAAAATGCCAAAAAAAGAGTGAAGAAACACACTTATCATCATTCCTATTTGGCATTGGTCACCACCCTTTTATAAATAAGTGAATTGGTCCATGACATTTTATTACAATGGTAGGCTTAAATGCACCAAAGACCGTTATAACTTTCTTACTATTTAACGTTGGCTCCTAAATTTTAAAAACTTTTTGACTAACCACTGAACTTACAAATTATTAAATCATTTGTCACTTCAACCATTAAAAAATAAATGGTATAGATGATGTGGATAATGAAATTTCACACGTGGCACTTTTTATCGTTAGTTTTTGCCAAGTCACAAAAGTTTAGTGACTAGTCATAAACATTGTCGAAAGTACAACAATCAATGAAAAATATTGTGAAAGGTACCTTCGTCAATTGGATATTTTTCGCATTTTTTGAACTCTTCCCACAAAAGCATACTTATTTCCGCAACACAATTTCATTACCTTTGATGCGGCACCTTTAACTACTAATCTTATTCCACCCGAAGGCTAGTTAAAAAGTCATTGACGTATATGCCACAATCTTAATTTTATCTTATGTCTACAAAATGCTTTAATAAAATGAGATATTAGTAACATATTGACGAAAAATAATAAATCTTACCAATCTTCACAAATTCAATTATTGAAGTACATAGGTGATCGATTAAAAATCTTTACTTTTGTTGAGAGGATCGAAAATCTTGAAATGAGTTGTAAATATATATATATCGACACTGATTGTTTTACTGTAAAAATAGAACTTCTGTTTTTTGCTTACTATATATATATATATATATATATATATATCATTAGCCACTATACTTCCCAATTTTTTTTTATTTTTTATTTTTAATCACTATGATTTTTCACAATGTTTATGACTAGCCACTGAGAAAAAGTAAAAGATCGAAGGCATCACGTGTGAATATCTATTATTCACGAAGTGATGATGGTGTTGTGATTTGGTAAATTTAATGGCTAATCAAGAAGTTTTTAAGTTTAATAGCCAATAAAAAACATTATGAAAAATATAATTTAAACCACAATTCGTCTTCATTGACAAAAACTGTCTTACGTTTTATTAAAATTTCACACGGTCTTTGAATATTCAACTTTACAAAACTAAGTATATTCAAAAACCTGATTTGAAATACGTTCCTTGAGGACATACATGAAAATTTAAACGAAGATTGAAATTATTTTTAGGCTAAATATATTCATAACACAGCTTTTAATAATTAGATTACATTTTGATCGTATGAAATGTTTATTACTTTTTATGTTTCAAACCTTTTTCCATCGCATTCTTATTCTCAACTTAACATAAATTGTCCATGGTTATGATTTCTCTCCATTTTTCTTTTTTCTTTTTTTATGATAGAGTAAGAAGACTCATTTTTCGTTGTATTTTCAAATAAGCAAAACAACTAATAATACAAAATGCTATTAATATTTTACCACCATTTTAAATCACATTAACAATATTTTTTTATGAAAACTATGATTAAGGACAAGTTTTTATGATTAATGAAATTTTAAAAGTAAGAATGTGATGAAGAAAAAAGCTAAGTGTGATAATAAATAAAGATTAATTACATTTAATGTAATTAAAATGCGGCGTGTATATATATATATATATATTAAAAAAATGTGACGTGAAAATAACCACCCTTACTTTTATTATAGTTTAATATCATACCTAATTATGTGCCTCTACCATGTGCTTTCCTAAAACTTATCTTAAGTTGCACTAAACATTTGCACTTAATTTAGATTTTTGCTGCATAGGCTGCACACATGTCGATGCATGATTGGAGAGTTTGAAAAATAAAAAATAAAAACAAAAACAGCCAACAACTTACCGACACATCAACCTGTTTTTATTCCTTGTCTTTCTGTTTTCTGTTTATCATTACACCTTAATTTATTCTAATTTTCATAAATGATCGAATTTGACCTCAACAAAAATTAATGAGCATTTACTAATCCTAGGAAGAAGGGTGGTGGAGGAAGCAAGAAGCACGATCAGCATGTGGGCGGTGGACGGTGGCGGAGTGGAAGTGATGCTTATTATACGGATTCTCGTACGGGGAACACGATCCCCGTCAAGAGGCCTCAATATTTTTTATAAATCTAGATTCCACATACATTGATAAATAATTTAATTTTTAGTAGTTATTATAAGTAATATAAAACGGTTAATATATCTTTTTATTTTTTGAGGTACTTTACACTTTAAATCTTTATTAATTTAGATTTTGTGTTCTGCATAGTTTGTCTTTGATCGAATAGTTCTATAGCAAAACAAGAGTATCTACTATCAACAAGTAATAGAAGGAAGGAATAAATAAATATTTTCATTCTTGCTTTGACCAATATTCTCATTTTAAAAATTATTAAATAGGTGGTAACGAGAATTTAAGTAGTACTTTTTGTTCGCCTTTGGTGTCTTTTGAACAATGCATTCATATAACAACTTAAATTATATATATATAAGGTTCTCCTATTAAAATTTCAATCATGCTTGGGTGTCAGATGAATTTTGACACTTCGATAGACCTACACTTATAATTGAGGTGAGTGGGATGCCATTTTTTACATTTTTTATTTCCATGAGGTCGGCATGGGTCCCATACCAATGTGAGTGTAAGTCAACCGGAGTGTCAAAATTCATCCGACACACTAGCTTAATTCTTAAAATTTTAGAAAAATTATTGACGAGTATGATTCATTCCATGTGCTTTCCTAATTATTGTTGTGGATGCTTTAATTATGCACATGATAAGTGAATCACAAGAATAAGTTAATTAATTGGTACTTGACTAGTACTTTTCAGAACTTAATTACATGTCTATCTAATACTCCAAATTGTAATAATTTAACATAAAAATTAATATCCACTTGCAATTGATGTGTAATATTCAATTGTGTATTTTGTCCTTGGAACGATGATATAATTTTTTTATTTTTTTATTTTTTTATTTTTTTATTTTTTTGAGAAAGTGCGTATAAGAACAAAATGTATTTGCTTAAAAATATAATGCGCTAGTTTTGTTTTATGTACATTTGAATAACTTTGCCTTCATCATATATAGCAATATGATTCCAAACAAGGTACATAAAAATATTTAGTTATTTTGAAAATTGAAATTCGACTTCAAATTATTTTTATCTAACTCTTGTTTGAGCCTCATTCTTTTGAAAAAACTCATTTTTCAACAGTATTTTGACATTATTTTAACCACACATTTTTTAATAAAATAATATTACACGTAAATTCAAAATTTTTCCTTATTTTTTAACTACACATTTTCCATCAATATACTATTCAAAAATTCTTTCTTTCTCCAAAAATGGGGTTCAAACAAGGGCATAATTGAGGAGTTTCAACTTCCAACTTTCTAAGTAGAAAGACTTATCCTTCGTGGTACGGCTTTTTTGACATAGGACACTCTGCTTTAATTAGTTAATTAAAGGAGGCTTCGTTGAAATCAAGAATTCAAAACAATTTGCGCAAATATCGGCAACCAATGTAGACTAACTTGTCATGTGGAATTGTGTGGAAAACAAAGTCTAATGTCCACATGGAATATTAAAATAAGAAACTTCCGAGTACCTTGTTTCAAAAAATTACGATTTTAAAGGGAAAAGGAAATTGTATTACTAGTTCTTAAGCTATTGTGTAGTAATTTAATGTTCACTTCGACAATAAGGAAAATAGCATTTAATATTTCACTATCGTTACACAATTTGTTGTCACATTCAAATCTTTTTAAATTCATATGATCCCTGTGAAAATATATTTTACTTTAAATTTTTAAACCAATCCAAGACAAGAAAAAAAAAAAAAATCAGCTCCTTAAAATTGGGCATGAGGCCAGTAATATAAATTTAGATTGTATTTATCAACAAAAAATGATTGTGTAATTATAATAATAGGCAATAATCCTCAATAACAAAAATTATTCGAAACTTTGTTTAATCTCGCGTCATCCTCATAACAAAGGGTTCACTTTAAATTTTTTAAGTATACTCCAAGTTAAGAAACAAAATCTAACTTCATAAAGTTTAGTATTCGAGCATCACTTGACAAATTAATAAAGATAGTTCCGTGATCAATAGGAATTAATTGGCACAACTAAAATGAAAAGCGAGCAATTTAAGTGATGAGAACCGCTCAAAATCTTCTCATGGTTCTTAAAACATATCTCACTTTAAATTTCTAAACATTAGTTCAAGTCAAGAAACAAAACCTAACTTTTGCAACTAAAATAAAATATTTCCATTTTATTCATTTTTATAGGTTAAAGACTAAGTTGCTACTTGAATAATAGATATCTAACATAAGATGCAATTTTCATTTCAAGGAATGAAAGAAAAAAGAGACAACCCGACATAGATCACGGCTAAATTAGTGGCAATAGAACATGGCCATCTTATCTTTCTTTTAGTTTTCCAACCTTAGATTCTCCAAATTTTATACATATTTGGAGCACTTTAAGGAAATGCTGTCCTAACCCCACTCTGATACCATTTATCTCTTTTCTTCGGTTTGTTTCTGCAGTCAATGCACAGGAATGGCTTCATTTCTTACTCTTTCATTAGTGTTCATATTCTCTCTTTGCAGCAGTTTGGCTTCTGCAGCAAATCCTCCAGTTCTTGACGGTAATTGTAATATTTGCATGGTTTTCTTCAATTTAAGTTTCTTTTATTACATTTGGGAATGATAAAGCAGACACAATAGTGCTACACAATATTAAGGAAGAAATTGAACTTAAAATTTTTTATTTTCAATTTGCATGTGTGCAACATTGTCCTATACAATGTATACCTAAGTAACGTGTAATTGTTTGTGCACTTTCATAGTGCGATATGACAATCTCGAGCTTAAGTCTATCCATATATTTTACAATTTGCGGATTCGAATGAAAAATGAATACAACATTTTAGTCACGTGTGGTATGATCCGAAATTGGAAACGAGAAACGGACTTATTTACATTTTACCCTTTTTTATATTTTTAGTTAAGAAAAAGTAACATATTCAACCATTTATGAAGATTTGAGTGCATTGTTTTCAGGATTTGTCAACAATGGAAACTTTGAACAAGGACCAAAGCTATCAAACCTAAATAAAACAGTGATAATAGGGAAATACTCTCTCCCCAAATGGATAATCAGCGGCATAGTCGAGTACATCTCTGGCGGACCGCAGCCCGGCGGTTTCTACTTTGCCGTCCCGCGTGGAGTTCACGCCGTAAGGCTTGGTAACGAAGCTTCCGTTTCACAATACATCAAAAACCTAAATGCAGGCACAATATATACCTTAACATTCGGGGCAACCCGAACTTGTGCCCAAGATGAAGCCCTAAGAATTTCCGTCAACCCGGGAAGAATGTCAAGCGATCTTCCAATTCAGACATTGTATAGCAGTGATGGAGGAGACACTTATGCATGGAGTTTTAAGGCAACCTCAAATGTTGTTAAGGTTACTTTTCATAATCCTGGTATGCAAGAAGATCCAACTTGTGGACCACTTTTGGATGCCATTGCAATCAAGGAAATGTTGCCCCTTACATACACAAGAGGTAAGCCTTAATTTTTATGTCTATATACTCTATTGGCGCACTATGAATTTATGTGTGTATGTATGTATGTATGTACATAAACGGGGAACCCACATCCGTTACCCTTTGAGTGCGCACTGAGTAAATTCTCGAGTTGAGGCAATTGTCTGTAAATCATGTCAATCATGTAAACCGCATTAGGTAAGTCCGGTGCGACATACTCGACAAGAGAAAGTGTTGGTAGGAAAAATCGAACTCGTGACCCGAGGCCTTCGAAATTACCTACTTCACCAACTCGGTCATCCTATGAGGGGCAAATTTATGTTTATATTTGGTTGTATTAGGCGCATCCGAAAAAAGAGTTGAATTATTTGACGTCAAGGTGTTATCATTTTAGGACTTAAAAATGAATTCTAGTCTATTATTGGTCAATGATCTAAGTCTTATATTAATTGAATTGTGTCAGATTTGTAAGAATGGCCTCACTCTTTTAAGTAACAACCATGCCCATTAGTCCTTTGATTTTAGGCAAATTCTTTAGTTAGTCGAACAGCTAGCCATTTTAGCCTCCATCGGAAAGAATTTAAAATGATTAAGCCCCAGTTTTGTATAGATTAAAATCACGTTTTTTAATAGGTTTTGATAAAAGTTGATGAAATGTCATTGAAATGTTGTGGGCTCCATAAAATGTGTAATTAAAATTAATTGTTGACTTTAACTTGAAATTTTTATTTGATTTTAATCTATAACAAAAAGGGGCTTAATTCATATTTAGATAGAATGTGAATGGCTAGCTACCTACCACGTGATTCTAATTTGAAACTCCTGATGTTCTTTTCACCTATAACTGATTGACTATATAGTGAAAAAATTCACATGATAATTTACAAATTCCATGCAGGAAATTTGGTGAAAAATGGTGGTTTTGAAGTTGGTCCACATGTATTCAAGAACTTCTCGACAGGGATCCTCGTACTCCCCAAAAGACAAGATTTATATTCACCAATTCCGGGATGGATTGTTGAATCCTTAAAACCAGTAAAATACATCGACTCGAAGCATTTCAACGTCCCGTCCGGGTTCGCTGCAGTCGAGTTCGTCGGAGGGAGAGAAACTGCCATTGCACAAATCATAAGGACAGTGCCCAACAAATTCTACAACCTCACATTCACCATTGGCGATGCCAAAAATGGCTGCCATGGATCAATGACGGTGGAAGCTTTTGCTGGCAAACAGACTGTAAAAGTGCCATTTACTTCTCAAGGAAAAGGTTGGTTTAAGACAGCAAGTCTTAGGTTTCAAGCAGTTTCGGACAGAACAAGGATAACATTTTTTAACCCATTTTACCACACAAAGATGCACGACTTTGGACATATGTGTGGCCCCGTCTTGGATGATGTTAGGGTTTACCCTGTTGCTTAGTGTATCGGACGCCTTTCTGGTTAAAGATTGTTATTTCATAAAATTTCCGTTTATCATTTTTTATGTCTTTATTGAAAAATGAAGTTTAAATAAATTTGAGTTTTTTTTTCAATAATTTAAGTTTTTAGACCAAATTCTTCGATATATAACCATTTTTGACCTGCATTCTTAGGGGAAAAAAATTATTTTTAAAATGTCATTTTAGCGTGGTTAAATAATAGGAAAAAATTTTATATTTACATGTAAAATTATTTTAATAACAAATGTGTTATTGAAAATGAGTTTTTTCTTTCTTAAAAAATAGAGCCTAAGCAGAGGCTATATTATTATACATGCACGTTAGTTGGGCTTTAAATATTTGGAAGAAATATCACGTCCGAACATAATGAGGATTTCATTTCAAGTTTTGTCACTATGTATTCATAAAAATTACGCACTTCATTGGCATTTGATTGAAAAATGAATAGATATGCACATTAGGGCATGATAAAGATCAAGTTAAAATCAACATATATGTCTCCTTTCTAATTAACGTAATACGTTCGAAAATGTATAAAAAAATAAAAAAAACGATTGCGAAAATTCAGAAGGTGTAATATGACGTATAGTTAACTACGAAGAAGAGCAACATCGATGATAAAAGTTTTTGTTGCTGATGTCTTGATTTACATTGGTAACAACCTTTATCGACAAAAATTCCCTATCAATAAGTTGGTAATTTACTAATTCGTTTATAAATCATTGATGGCTTAGCAACATAAATATTTGTTGCTATTTATCAATGGATATTTCTATGGCTAATCAACAAAGACATAGTCCATTGGTATTAGCGACAAACTTTAGCTATTGTTGCAACAACGATTTTTGCAACAACTTAGGTTGTTTAACTTTCATTTTTTTTGGAGAATAAATTTTGTAATAGTTAGTTTTTGGAGAATGTATGATTAAAAAGTAGGAAAATTTTTGAATTTTTATATATATATAATTTATATATATATATATATATATATATATATATATATGATTTGTCAATTGAATAATTATTGATTTGATTTCTCCAAGTGGGACTTATTGAAACATCCAACAAACTCAAAATTCTGTGGATGAAACGAAAGCAGTGTGTCATTGACAATTTAATGTACAAGAACCTCAATTGAAGCAAATTTTCTTCTTGTATTTCCCCTTTTGGTCTTCTTAAGCACATATACAAATTAATTTCATATAAAAAGGAAAATTTTGCTAATTTCTTTTTCAAATTTTCTTCCAAAATGCACTTTTATCTACAATAATTATTTATTGACAGTGTTATCTCAACAAATGAATATTAAGTTCATGTAAACGAATAAAAAAAGAAGAAGTTAATCCATGTTAAATTAGTTAATTTTTTCCATGACGATGCTTCTGCACTTCTTTGACAAGTGAGTTAAACACGAAAGTACCCATCTATAAATAATCTATAGAACCTAGGCATCAAAGATATGACATTAAAATATTAAAACTCCATGTTTACGTTCTTTAATAACCTAGCTAATTTTAACTGAGAATACTAAATACACGAAACGATAAAAGATTCAAGGATTGAGTAGATAAGTGCACGAGAATGAAATGATAATTTGGAAAAACAAATTACAATTTTTTATTAGTCCACAGCTAGCCATCGTCATCCCCTACCTAACTAAATGATGAACCTTAAATAAGGTTTTGAAATTCATTGGATATGCCTTGCATTGCATATGGGCGATTGCCCTTTTTAGAAGGCGTTGGATGAAGAAAATTCTTATTTCATAAATAATTTTGTCCCTTTCTGAAACTGACCAAATTGGAATTTTATTGGATTGTTACATAAATTTTGGACCTTATAGAGTGTCTAAAAATAAGTATTTTACGTAAGCACTGCAGCAATACTAAAATGATGTTGAGAGTTGAAAGAAACTTGTGAATAGGTTGATCGATTAATTTTAAATAATAATTTATCGAATGAAGACTCAGTCGTCAGTGCTTCTTCTTTAAGATAAAAAATATATACAGACAAGTTGACTTTTGATATAATAATTCGTACTTGAATCTTTAGAAATCGTCTTCATTGGAATTATTAATATTTCGTTTAAAATTAAGTTTTTATTTCATAAACTATATAAATAATGTAAAAATATTAGTGTGAGGTCATTATCCACACTCTAGAGCTTGCCACATTAAATACGGGGGCCTGTATTCGTACATGTATATTAGGCACGAAATTGACAATACTCCTTGGGTGCTTGGTTTTTGTATTCTTTTGGGGCATTTATTTTCTATCCTTCGCCACAAAATTTGAGCTCGTCACTCACCCTTATCATAGTAGGAATAAAGATGGTAGTCGAATAATTTAAAATGGCCACTTAAATCTAATAAAGTATTATTTTAAAATTATCGTTAAAATTAATAATGTGTGTTGCAAAAATTGACGTGACTTGAGAGAAATCTTCACGGAATTTACTTCAAGCCATCTAGATGTGCTTCTTCAATTTCAGTGTCATGTATTTCTGAAAATTATGTTATTATACATATAAATCATGTCTAGACTTGGCTCTCGAGTTTTGCAGTCGAGATTATCAAAAGTGAATTGGATGGAATCAATCTATCAATGAGTTGTGTAACAAACACCTAAAATGGTGACATGGTGAGGTTGCATATGTATTGATGATTAATGAAGCATTTCGAGGACAAATCTAGTTTGCTTTACTAGGATTTTATATATGCATAAAACCTCGTAAATTCATTTTTATGTTCATTCCCCTCTAAGGTGATTGAAATCATCACATATTGTGCGCAGATTTTTAGATGATAAAATAAATGTTCGATAACATTTTTCGTAATGTGATGGATCCTTGTAAAATAAAGACATTCACAAACAACAAAGTTGTGAAAAATAATCTACAATAAAAAAAAATATCTTTTTTGCTATTCCTAGCTACATCTTCCATCATAAAAATACTATACACGATTGAAATCGTCCAATAAAAATTAGTTTTTGTCGTGTAGACGAAATCTTTACACAACAATATTAATAGCAACGTTAAATGTGTATAACCATGTTGTTTATCCGTCATTTATATTACCAGTTAAAACTTCTTATTTAAGAGCCACCTATGTATATAAGATTGTATCAGCCGTTATGTTTAAAGTTGTCGTGTCTTCTTGAAATTATTTGTCTTTCTCTTTCTAATAAGTAATTAACATTTTCTCTTCTTCTTCTTCACTCGATCTCCTTTTCTACTTCTCTAGCAGAAAAATGAAACTGAAATCAGTGTATTTTTTAGGAGAAGCTGCAGAAATTGCTGAATTCAACACCCATTTAACTCCACCAATGCCTGCCGCCGGAAGAGTTGCGCCGCCCCCGGGTGCAGCTGCAAAATGCGATGGCGATGCTCATAATTGTCCGTGGTGGCCGTATACAAGTTCCAAGGATTTCAAAGCGAACACTGTCGTGATATTAATGGTACTTATCATTGCTTTGATCTGCGCTTTATCTTTCAATGCTGCTATTCGGTATATCATACGCATGCACTGCTGCCGAAGGAGGCGAGACTCTCAGCAGTCATCAGAGGAGAACCAGGATGTGGAAATGGCGAGGCCAAAGACGGTTCTCGGCTCTGGTACGTACTTTCAATTATCTCGTCTCAAAGCTAATTCATTTATATCTTGTTTTCAAAATTTCAGGAGGTCACTTTTCTGCGTCACGCCTGCATAATTTTTGATAAACGAGTTATACCAAGACTTGAGCTCAAGTAGTGTGTATGTTATGTATTTATTAAAGAAATCAAAATTTTTACACAAAAAATTCAAAATGTTGCGGGAACGTCGCCACTCTCGGCCCCTAAAGCTCCGCCTCCGAACTCGACTTGCACTTTTGGGCTGAATTAAATCTTTTTTGTACTGCATTCCGAAATAAATATAGAGGCGTGCTGGATGTACAAACCGAGATTTGGCTGGATGTACAAACCCAGATTTGACAGACCTCTTACAAAGGTTCACAATGGATGTGGATTTTTTGTCACTTTTATTACATTAGGTCCCACCTGAGGCCGAGGCATGTGAGGCTTCTAGTTTTCTTCTATAAAAACAATTCTGTACACTAAGAATTGTTTATAAATATAATCCAGATTGTTTTCTGAAGTGAAGAAGAAAATTTGTAGACAAAAATTTACGCTTAATCTAATTTTAATACATTAACATTCATCTCATCATTTTATCTAAAAGTTTAAGTTGTTGGAGAGGCGACATACATGTTCATTTATTGTTTTCAACAGGTATGGCCGAGACGGAGATGGAAATCACGGCCGAGGTGTATTCAGCGGGGATGAAGCTGGCGGGAGAAGAGGCGGAGTGTACGATCTGCTTATCGGAATTTGCAGATGGGGAGAAAATTAGGGTTCTGGAGAAGTGCAGCCATGGCTTCCATTTGCACTGTATACAACAATGGCTGGCTGCACAAACCTCTTGTCCCACGTGCAGAGCGAGTTGTAATCTTTGAATTATTGCCCCATTTCTGGTTGTAATATCACTTTTCTTTAAGTAACTATTAATCTGAGATAATATTTGAAGGGTTAAAGATCTTAGCTTTATTTCTAAGTTTTGTATGATCGACTATATATACTAAGTTGCTGTTTGAGATCTAGAACTACAAACTCATTTTTCCTAAGCCTCATTTTTAATCATACGTTCTCTCTGCAAAAATAATTTTACATGTAAACTCAAAATATTTTTCTACTTTTTAACTATACATTCTTAAAAAGAATACTATTACAAAATTTCTTTTTCTCATAATATGGGAGTAAAATATGCACATACAATTAAGAAAGAGAAAAAGACAACTTTTTATTCGACATGCTTTAATTTTCGGTACCAAATATATTTCAAATAAAGTTCCGAGTACATGAAAATTTTAACAAAATTGATATCGATGCTAACGTTGCCAAACTTAATTAGCTTTTTATGTTTTATTTTTTGCCTCTCTTCCAATGGTGCCATGCAAAGTGTTGTCTATCAAGATTTTTTGCTAAAAAAATTGTGCTTATAGCATGATTGATATATTCATATTCCTTTTAAAAATATTTTCTTATAGGCGATTTGGACTGTTTAGAAAAGTTTCAGGCGTTGCACGACCCATGAGCATTAACCATAAACTTCTTTTTTTCATTTTTCATTTTTTTTTTGAAAGAAAATCATGAATAATTAAGGGTCTGTTTGATTGCAATGATAAAATTTGGGTGGAAAGAAAAAAATTCCAGTGAATTGAATGGCCTTGAACTTATTTTACTGAGAATTATCAATTAAACGTGTTTGTTGGTATAATTTTTCACTTGGAAAATGTTGAAATTTTATATCTTTTGACATTCGTTTAGTTTTATTTTTCATGAAA